TTTAGAAGAGAAACACAACATCACATTTTCTTACATTCTCAAAACAAAAGCTCAGCCATGAGAAGACCTAATAATGGACGAAGAAGAGTTGAAATGACGAGGATGCAAAATCAAAGCAATTTACAGGTAACATTCTCAAAACGACGCGATGGAGTCTTTAAAAAGGCAACTGAGCTCTCCACTTTGTGTGGTGCTGACGTTGTCGTTGTAGTTTTTTCTCCTAGCAATAAACCATATTCATGTGGACACCCTTCCGTTGAGTCTATTATGAATAGATTTTTGGGAGAAAATCCTCCGACTGATACTGATGCTCCTAACCCTATCGTTATTGCTCATCAAAATGCAAATACTGATGAGATCAATAGGAAGCTAAACAGATTGGAGATTTCACTCGAAAGGGAAAAAAAATATGGAGAAGCACTTCAAGCATCGAGGAAAGAACCTCCAATTGAAAAACTCAGTTCCTTTGACCTAAAAAATCTGTGCAAGGCTTTGGAAGATGCAGATGAAGAAATTGAAAGATTAGTGAGCATAAAAAAGGAGCGTGGTTTTGAATTTCCATATCAAACCATTGGAAGTGCCTTTGCTCCTCTAAGAGTTATAGAACATTCTTCGTCTGATTCCGATGAAGGGTCATCTGGATCCAATGATTAGAATTTTCTTTCTTTAATTAAAATTCAAGCACTTAATTTGATACTTATAGAGTTAAGATTGTCATATTAATGATTATGTTTATTCTATCTTTGATTTTAATTTATCTTTTAGTATGTTTATCATGGAATGAAATGTGTTTTAATTTAGTACTTTCTTCGTTTTAATTTCTCTTCTTCTTCTTTTTTTGTCCTTCTAAAAAGGAATGTCTTTTTCTCCTTTTTGGTAACACTTAGTTTTTAATTTTCACTTTCCATGTTTAAGAACATAAAAATAAAGAGAACCCTGGTGCATTTTACATAACTTCAATTTAAGATTAAAATATTCAAAAATCTTCTTTATTTTCATTAATTTTGTGCCAAGAAAAAATTAGATGAATAAATTAAACTGAAACGGGTATGCGGTAATTTATCATTTGTAATATTCAAAGTAAGTGTTGAAAGCAGAAGTAGTAAAAAGTTTTTGAATAAGACAATGGAATTCATGTCATGTAGCTTAAAGTGCAAAATGTAGTTTAAAATAAATTGAGTCCTTATGAAGTATCACGTGTATCTATATCTATATATGATAAATAATGTTACTTTATATTGACCGGTAAAGTTGCTGACCACTTTACATGTATTTATCCATATTGGTAAATATTTAATATTTTTATTGTTAATAAAAGGCCACTAGACTTACTATCTAGTGTTATATATTGATAAAAAATAAAAATCAATATATATTATAAAACTTTAATTCAAACAAAGAATTAAAAGATCCGTCAATCTTCAAATTCTTGCATTCTTAATGTATGTAATTATGAGTTCTCAATAGATATAGTCTTAATGTAAGAATCATATTGATTTGATTAGATTTATTCCTTCTCATTGCTGCAAAATAAAGGAAATATATGTAACGACCTGCTCTCGTCGTTATAGAAAAGCTAACGGAGAAAATTTTTGGGCACAGTAAGTTGAGAATTCCTAACCTTGTTAAAATTTGGATGAAATCGAAGTCAGTGAGGTATAGGGGAATCTGGTAATGAATGAGAGATCTAATTATGAATTTGATCACACGAGTAGATAGCCAAGACGTTAAGGAACCCTTACGACTTTACAGAAATGAATTAGGGCGAATAGACCTCCCGAAATAGACCTTAGTGTGAACGGGTAGTTTCTGACTCTCATGGGTTGAAGGTGTATTGTGAAATGGGGGTTTGGAACTCCACTATCGACTCTCTGTTTCCGTGCAAGCTGCCAGGGCGGGGCCGCTGTGGAGGGTTGTGTCCCGCTACTGTTGGCCAGTCACAACTTAAGTCAGAATTAAACTCAAAAAACATCATTATTCTGCAATCATCGTTCTTAAGAGATAGGAGACGACCCCAGGCGATTTCTTGAAAGTTTACCACTACTTTAGGTGCAAAAGGTAAGGTTCTTACTCCCGTAATCCATTTTTCGATCCGTAGAACTTAGATTCTTGGTTATTAATCATTGGGGAGGGTTTTGGACTTAATTGGTTGGTGGGAAAGATCCCTAGCAGTACCTTAGGATCATGGGTTTGGTCTTGGGTTATTGGGTTTCTTATAATCCGGGTAAACTAGACCTTAATTAATGATCCATGCGTTATATTACTTGTTTGTAGACCTAGAACCAACCGAAAGAATCCGGAAAGGGAAGAATCAACTTTCTTAGAAGGATTCAATCTTGGTTTTGAGGTAGGTGATGATTTGATTTCATGTATATGTGATGTATGTTAGTATTTGCTTCATTGTAATGCATGTGAGTATGTGAATGTTGCACAATAGATCACATCTAATGCCAATGAGTATGAATGAATGATTATAAGCCATGAATCAACACTTGATTGGATAATTATGTGAATGTACATTGTGATTGTGATTGTGGCATGTTGAATGGATCGGGTTTCATGTTCCGACACACTAACTGGGATCGGATGTCACGTACCGACATACATATTGGAACGGGTGTCACGTTTTGGCACACTAACTTGGATAGGGTGTCACGATCTGGCACACTAACAGTTTGTGTATGGGCTCCATGAAAGGATCATTGACTTGTCATATATGTGTATTATTGACAATGTGGAATGCTACATTTCTCCTAAAAAGATAATTGATAATGTATATGTTCGATATATGTATGTTTACTATGATGTGACTGGTTATATATGTTTCGGTTACTGGAATAGACGTGTGATCCTACCAGTACGTTGTGGTTGTGTACTGATACTGCACTTGCTCTTTATTTGTTGAGTACAGGGCATCTTCAGACGGCTAATGACAGACATCATTTAGGAGAATACTGAGAAAGATCGGATTCAAGAGTGAGCCAATTCTTCCAGGCTGCCATGGGTCCTCTATGTGTTAGTCCACTCTTTTCGGACTCAGACTTTCTAGTTAGACTTACTCATATGTTTAGTTTGGGTTGTACCGATTTTTCTTAGACTTATTGAACTTTACTTGTTTTGGTACGTTGACTTTCAGTTTCTAGGGGTATTTTCCACAATGTTTTAGTGATGATTCGTAATACTTTCGGTGTTTATGGGATCTCCACATTATTTCTCCATTTAAACCAGCTTCCGAATCGTTAAATGACTAGTTTTTGGGTTAGCTGATTAGTATTAATGGGTCTCCCACTAGACGGTTAGCGTGTGTGCTAATCACGACGGTCTGGGTCGTGGCAATATATCAATTCATTGAATATACGAGTATGTAATATAGTTGAATAACGAATAACGGAACTAAAAGTTTGAAGGTAATTCAACTGAAATATAGTATAAATCACGATGAAATATGATTTTAGCTCTTACTGTAAGGATGCAAGAATAGTGATTCCTAAACAGAAATATATATATATATATAAATATTTAATTAGTTCAGAGTTTCTCCAACCGATGACCATCATTATAAGCCTCATGATGATACAGTCTCACCCATACCACCAGAACTATCCTATACCATGCAAGGGTATAGAACAAATTCAACTCATGGATCTACTATAATGTTTATTCAAAGGCAGTGAGGAGTGGCCCAAAAGTCAGTGTGATCCTTACCTACGCTGGCTACGTGGTTTATGGGGAATGTGACGTGTTTTAAATCTTCCCCATATCGGTGCTCAATACTACTCCAAAAATATCTAATTCAATGCTCAAGTAACAATCCTCTCTCTATGTTGTGATAAGTTCTTGAAAGGGCCTCTTAAAGAGGGAACTGCTAAAGTAAAAATACTCTCTCTAGATTTTTCGATGTGTAAAGTTTTGTGTGTATATTTCTTTTACATGTAGAAATTATTAATGAAAGAAACATCGTATGAAAGTAATATAAATTGTTCAACATATAGATATCTACAGATAAAAAGAAGAAGCGTCACTGAAAAAAGTTAGTAACTACAGAATAAATGACAAAAAAACAATGAAAAAGACATATGGATGAGTTTCACTAAAGTGATTTCAAGTCGCAAAGTTAGATAGATGATATTATGAAAATGAAGTATATACAAAAATTGAAATTTATACTCCTTTGGATGGTTATTATGTATTATTTCATAATGCGTCGTATAATGTTCAAATATCATATGGTTATTGGATAATAAAAAAAGAGACACAAAATTTGTTGTATCATATTAAGAATTTAAAATGAATCACAATGTGCTCGAGAATATTCTAATTTTTTTTATACAAGTTAAATTGCATTGGGATTCTCTATTACTATATTCTTTCACATGTCATATGTTACAAGTATATTTTACGAGTTTAGCAAAGCTCTAGAACACACACAACTAACTTAAAATTTTAAATAGAGGTGCTTAAAGATTTTTGTTTGTTACATATGAGTTAGACAGTAAGTATTTTCATATTGCTAATAATAGTGGAATGTCTCTATTAAGCATGACTTTGTTAGGAAATATACATAATTGAACAAGAGCAAATATAGAAAATATACAAACACAATAAAAAAAAATTACCTCAGAAATTATCATCAATTTACATGTTAACTTATGTTACAAAAGAATGACACAATAATATTTTTTCAATAATCCAATAACATAAATCTAACTAAAAAATATGTCGTTTGTAGTTACTATCTTTACACGTTAACTAACCATACAATGAACCAAAAAGAGAAATTTAATTAATATGAAATGAGTTTTGTTCAAATCTACCAAATAAGGAAACATCATAAATATTTTTACTTTTTTGTCATTTGAGTTCATTTTCAACTGATACTATGATGATTTTATCGCTATAAATACATCTTTAGAAGAGAAACACAACATCACATTTTCTTACATTCTCAAAACAAAAGCTCAGCCATGAGAAGACCTAATAATGGACGAAGAAGAGTTGAAATGACGAGGATGCAAAATCAAAGCAATTTACAGGTAACATTCTCAAAACGACGCGATGGAGTCTTTAAAAAGGCAACTGAGCTCTCCACTTTGTGTGGTGCTGATGTTGTCGTTGTAGTTTTTTCTCCTAGAAATAAACCATATTCATGTGGACACCCTTCCGTTGAGTCTATTATGAATAGATTTTTGGGATAAAATCCTCCGACTGATACTGATGCTCCTAACCCCATCGTTATTGCTCATCAAAATGCAAATACTGATGAGATCAATAGGAAGCTAAACAGATTGGAGATTTCACTCGAAAGGGAAAAAAAATATGGAGAAGCACTTCAAGCATCGAGGAAAGAACCTCCAATTGAAAAACTCAGTTCCTTTGACCTAAAAAATCTGTGCAAGGCTTTGGAAGCTGCAGATGAAGAAATTGAAAGATTAGTGAGCATAAAAAAGGAGCGTGGTTTTGAATTCCCATATCAAACCATTGGAAGTGCCTTTGCTCCTCTAAGAGTTATAGAACATTCTTCGTCTGATTCCGATGAAGGGTCATCTGGATCCAATGATTAGAATTTTCTTTCTTTAATTAAAATTCAAGCACTTAATTTGATACTTATAGAGTTAAGATTGTCATATTAATGATTATGTTTATTCTATCTTTGATTTTAATTTATCTTTTAGTATGTTTATCATGGAATGAAATGTGTTTTAATTTAGTACTTTCTTCGTTTCAATTTCTCTTCTTCTTCTTTTTTTGTCCTTCTAAAAAGGAATGTCTTTTTCTCCTTTTTGGTAACACTTAGTTTTTAATTTTCACTTTCCATGTTTAAGAACACAAAAATAAAGAGAACCCTGGTGCATTTTACATAACTTCAATTTAAGATTAAAATATTCAAAAATCTTCTTTATTTTCATTAATTTTGTGCCAAGAAAAAATTAGATGAATAAATTAAACTGAAACGGGTATGCGGTAATTTATCATTTGTAATATTCAAAGTAAGTGTTGAAAGCAGAAGTAGTAAAAAGTTTTTGAATAAGACAATGGAATTCATGTCATGTAGCTTAAAGTGCAAAATGTAGTTTAAAATAAATTGAGTCCTTATGAAGTATCACGTGTATCTATATCTATATATGATAAATAATGTTACTTTATATTGACTGGTAAAGTTGCTGACCACTTTACATGTATTTATCCATATTGATAAATATTTAATATTTTTATTGTTAATAAAAGGCCACTAGACTTACTATCTAGTGTTATATATTGATAAAAAATAAAAATCAATATATATCATAACACTTTAATTCAAACAAAGAATTAAAAGATCCGTCAATCTTCAAATTCTTGCATTCTTAATGTATGTAATTATGAGTTCTCAATAGATATAGTCTTAATGTAAGAATCATATTGATTTGATTAGATGTATTCCTTCTCATTGCTGCAAAATAAAGGAAATATATGTAACGACCTGCTCTCGTCGTTATAGAAAAGCTAACGGAGAAAATTTTTGGGCACAGTAAGTTGAGAATTCCTAACCTTGTTAAAATTTGGACGAAATCGAAGTCAGTGAGGTATAGGGGAATCTGGTAATGAATGAGAGATCTAATTATGAATTTGATTACACGAGTAGATAGCCAAGACGTTAAGGAACCCTTACGACTTTACGGAAATGAATTAGGGCGAATAGACCTCCCGAAATAGACCTTAGTGTGAACGGGTAGTTTTTGACTCTCATGGGTTGAAGGTGTATTGTGAAATGGGGGTTTGGAACTCCACTATCGACTCTCTGTTTCCGTGCAAGCTGCCAGGGCGGGGCCGCTGTGGAGGGTTGTGTCCCGCTACTGTTGGCCAGTCACAACTTAAGTCAGAATTAAACTCAAAAAACATCATTATTCTGCAATCATCGTTCTTAAGAGATAGGAGACGACCCCAGGCGATTTCTTGAAAGTTTACCACTACTTTAGGTGCAAAAGGTAAGGTTCTTACTCCCGTAATCCATTTTTCGATCCGTAGAACTTAGATTCTTGGTTATTAATCATTGGGGAGGGTTTTGGACTTAATTGGTTGGTGGGAAAGATCCCTAGCAGTACCTTAGGATCATGGGTTTGGTCTTGGGTTATTGGGTTTCTTATAATCCGGGTAAACTAGACCTTAATTAATGATCCATGCGTTATATTACTTGTTTGTAGACCTAGAACCAACCGAAAGAATCCGGAAAGGGAAGAATCAACTTTCTTAGGAGGATTCAAGCTTGGTTTTGAGGTAGGTGATGATTTGATTTCATGTATGTGTGATGTATGTTAGTATTTGCTTCATTGTAATACATGTGAGTATGTGAATGTTGCACAATAGATCACATCTAATGCCAATGAGTATGAATGAATGATTATAAGCCATGAATCAACACTTGATTGGATAATTATGAGAATGTACATTGTGATTGTGATTGTGGCATGTTGAATGGATCGGGTTTCATGTTCCGACACACTAACTGGGATCGGATGTCACGTACCGACCTACATATTGGAACGGGTGTCACGTTTTGGCACACTAACTTGGATAGGGTGTCACGATCTGGCACACTAACAGTTTGTGTATGGGCTCCATGAAAGGATCATTGACTTGTCATATATGTGTATTATTGACAATGTGGAATGCTACATTTCTCCTAAAAAGATAATTGATAATGTATATGTTCGATATATGTATGTTTACTATGATGTGACTGGTTATATATGTTTCGGTTACTGGAATAGACGTGTGATCCTACCAGTACGTTGTGGTTGTGTACTGATACTGCACTTGCTCTTTGTTTGTTGAGTACAGGGCATCTTCAGACGGCTAATGACAGACATCATTTAGGAGAATACTGAGAAAGATCGGATTCAAGAGTGAGCCAATTCTTTCAGGCTGCCATGGGTCCTCTATGTGTTAGTCCACTCTTTTCGGACTCGGACTTTCTAGTTAGACTTACTCATATGTTTAGTTTGGGTTGTACCGATTTTTCTTAGACTTATTGAACTTTACTTGTTTTGGTACATTGACTTTCAGTTTCTAGGGGTATTTTCCACAATGTTTTAGTGATGATTCGTAATACTTTCGGTGTTTATGGGAACTCCACATTATTTCTCCATTTAAACCAGCTTCCGAATCGTTAAATGACTAGTTTTTGGGTTAGCTGATTAGTATTAATGGGTCTCCCACTAGACGGTTAGCGTGTGTGCTAATCACGACGGTCTGGGTCGTGGCAATATATCAATTCATTGAATATACGAGTATGTAATATAGTTGAATAACGAATAACGGAACTAAAAGTTTGAAGGTAATTCAACTGAAATATAGTAAAAATCATGATGAAATATGATTTTAGCTCTTACCGTAAGGATGCAAGAATGGTGAATCCTATACAGAAATATATATATATATATATATATATAAGTATTCAAGTGTAGAGTTTCTCCAACCGATGACCATCACTATAAGCCTCATAATGATACAGTCTCACCCATACCACCAGAACTATCCTATACCATGCAAGGGTATAGAACAAATTCAACTCATGGATCTACTATAATATTTTTTCAAAGGCAGTGAGGAGTCGCCCAAAAGTCAGTGTGATCCTTACCTACGCTGGCTACGTGGTTTATGGGGAATGTGACGTGTTTTAAATCTTCCCCATATCGGTGCTCAATACTACTCCAAAAATATCTAATTCAATGCTCAAGTAACAATCCTCTCTCTATGTTGTGATAAGTTCTTGAAAGGGCCTCTTAAAGAGGTAACTGCTAAAGTAAAAATACTCTCTCTAGATTTTTCGATGTGTAAAGTTTTGTGTGTATATTTCTTTTACATGTAGAAATTATTAATGAAAGAAACATGGTATGAAAGTAATATAAATTGTTCAACATATAGATATCTACAAATAAAAACAAGAAGCGTCACTGAAAAAAGTTAGTAACTACAAAAATAAATTACAAAAAAACAATGAAAAAGACATATGGATGAGTTTCACTAAAGTGATTTCAAGTCGCAAAGTTAGATAGATGATATTATGAAAATGAAGTATATACTAAAATTGAAATTTATACTCTTTTGTATGGTTATTATGTATTATTTCATAATGCGTCATATAATGTTCAAATATCATATGGTTATTGGATAACAAAAAAAGAGACACAAAATTTGTTGTATCATATTAAGAATTTAAAATGAATCACAAAGTGCTCGAGAATATTCTAATTTTTTTATACAAGTTAAATTGCATTAGTATTTTCTATTACTATATTCTTTCACATGTCATATGTTACAAGTATATTTTACGAGTTTAGCAAAGCTCTAGAACACACACAACTAACTTAAAATTTTAAACAGAGGTGCTTAAAGATTTTTGTTTGTTAAATATGAGTTAGACAGTAAGTATTTTCATATTGCTAATAATAGTGGAATGTCTTTATTAAGCATGACTTTATTAGGAAATATACATAATAGAACAAGAGCAAATATAGAAAATATACAAACACAATAAAAAAAAATTACCTCAGAAATTATCTTCAATTTACATATTAACTTATTGTTTTATTTAAAATAATAATTTGATTGGTTTTAAGAGTTGCCACTTAATTTTTTAAGAAAAATCATGAAAACTATTCATTTCCACAAGACTAAAACAGGAATCTAGTGAAAACTTGTAAAGGGGTTTGAGGTTCTTATTAATATTCTAGGAAGGTTTTAAAAGCACCTAGAATATCCACTAATGTAGTTTTCCGACAATTAAATTTTTGGCTAAAACTACTTTAACATAATTTGAATAGAACGATTGAACTATTTTATAGTTGAGACGGTTATAAAAGGGGAAAAGGAAAATATTGACCTACAATCTAAGTGAGACACTTCTCAAAATTTATTCTTTTAAGTCTTTTGAAACATGATCGATTTAGTTAAATTGTTAAAACGAAATAAGCGTCTTTCGGGGATTTGAACTTTTCGACCCTAAGATTAATGGCAAATATTAACAAGTAAATAAACATAATAAAACAAAGAGGGAAAGAGATTTTGGCCCAAGTATGGTTCTTTCTGTCCGCCTGGACCAATACTTGGGCCCATTTGAGTCACATGTACCTGTCCTATATTAACGTAAAATAAATATTTTTTCTTTGGGCCTTAGGCCCAATATTTCACTGTGCTAAACACTAACAAAATAATAAACATAAGTAGGCTTAGGCCCAGAATAACAAAATACAGTTTTTTCAAAATGTGGACTTTTGGCTCAATTTCCTCAATCTTTCCGATTTGCAACACTTTATTATGCATGCTTAACATATACGATCTCATGCAACCTTTACGCCTTTTTCGGGACTTATTCTTCAACTTTTAAGGGGTAGGCTGACTCGAATAAAAATAATTGGGCCTCCGTGGCCCAATAGGAAAATGCAAGAATAGAATCCATAAGGACCGGATAGATTACACATGCAAACACAAAACAAATAAAATGTAAGTAACAATTCAATGATTGAATATAAGAAAATAGAGAAAAATAAATAAATAAATGCTACCACTTGGATATCGTCAT